CTTGCCCTTTGGAGATAATTCAAACTCAGAGGTCACAAAATCAAATGATGTTATTAAGAAAAAGAGGATAAAACATTAAAAAATAAAATAAAATGAGGATATTCAATATGAAAGGAAATAATTACAAAGTTTACATGAAAAAGGTAAATCCAAAAGAAAATCCAGTGCTCCAGACAGGCCACAAGATGGCACTGATCTCCCAAAAAAAAGAGTCTCTGAAAAATATAAGAAAAGTATCTTCATACTTAACCTTAAATATGCTGAAATCAAACATCCAATTCTATAACTTATATTCTAGAAAGATAAGAAAAATGAGACTTAATGCAACCGAAAAACAAAAATGAATCCCTGACTAGATATTTTACCCTTTTCCATAAATTTGGATCCTGCAATGCACTCTATACAGGGCTAATCTTCCATGTCAGAAGTGGGGAAGGCACTCCTAGTCCATTCCCTTGAACCAGGGGTAGGCAACCTTGGCTCTTTTATGACTCGTGGACTTCAACTCCCAGAATTCCTGAGCCAGCATGGCTCAGCTTGGAAACCTCTCCCTTTCCCCTCAGCATGGCTGGCTCAGGAATTCTGGGAGTTGAAGTCCACGAGTCATAAAAGAGCCAAGGTTGCCTACCCCTGCCTTAAACATTTATCATCTAATGGGAGCTAGGAAGTGTGCCTTTTCCATAGCAGCCCCTGCCCTATGGAACACTTTTCCCTCTGAAGTTCAGCAGGCCTCTACCCTCCTACTCTTCCATAAAAGACTTGGACTTCAATTCCCAGAATTCCCCAGCGAGCATGACTGACTGGGGAATTCTGGGAGTTGAAGTCCACCCATCTAAAACATGTCAAGGCTGAGAAACACTGCATCAGAGGTTATTGGGCAAAGTGAAGCCCAATTTTTCTACGGACTTTTTTGTTTTAAAAAGGCCAAACTTCCTCCGTATCTGGCAGGACAAAGGGCCGAGGTACCTGTGTATATGAACAAGACCAAATTCAGTTGTGGGAGCATAAATGGAGAGTCTCAGTCGCAGTCTGCTGGTTGTATTCAGAATAAACTGCATCATCTAACTCAGTTTGTCTCATTTTAAAGTGATACACAAATAAGAAGAAATTCTCCTTCTTAATTTCTCTTTACTAAAATCAGAGAGAAAACTCTAATTTGGCCAATGGACAAATCGGCATTCATTCAATAGCATTGTTTAAATCAAAAAGAAAAACAGCACTTACGCTCTGATTTGTCAAACATAACTGAGAACAGGAAGTCTCTTGGAGTCATGTAATATTCTCCTTCATATTCCAAAGAAGCAAATTGCATAAAACGTTGCTTTCGAATGGAAAGCTTCTCTGCCATCTCTTCATCCACAACATCTTCCTTCTAAAAAACAGGAAAGGATTTATAGCAAATACAGGTAAATTTATTCACGACTAGAATCACTAGCTATGACTCAGCAACAGAACAAGACCTGAAACTATATCACTGCTGCATGCTGCAAAACAAATATTTATTTTAGACTAAGGCGAGTGTCAAAAGGATTGTTAGCGATTATGCACACATCTGTTTGTGGGTTTGTAGGCGTGCATTAAAAAAAAAAATACTCCTGAATCTTACCCAAACTCTTGGATAAGATGGAAACAATGAGGTGTGATTAATTCTAAATGTATTTTCACTTCATTAGATGGTGTCCAATGCTGTGTCATTTAGACAGAAAAGACAAAAAGACAATACAAATAATCAAAGGGCTAGAACAACTTCAAATAAGACAAGATGCCTGAGATGCTTTAGTTGAGAAAAATTGTGTAAGTGATCAAGGGAACTGGGAGAGAAGGCAGCTGTCGCAAGAATAAATGTTGCTACAGGGAGGGGGGGTTGTTGAACAAATGCTGGTGCACAAATAAATGCGGCCTCTTGGGTCGAATGAATGAATGCTGTTGCGTGAATGAAATGCTGGGGCTTGGGGGGGGGGGTTTGCCCCACAAGGCAATGTGCAAGGTGGGCATAGTTAGAAGGGGAGATAGGCAGGTGGGGGGAGTTCGCTTGAGGCTGAGAGGGACAAAAAGTCTAGAATGGCTTGTATTGGGTACTTGCTTAATGATCCGTGATTCTTGGTTAACAATTGCAATGGGGACAGACAGGATTGCTGTCTCCAAGTGAAGCAATCACAAGACATCTCATTACATATTGCCAGTGGTGGGATTCAAATATGTGAACAACCGGTTCTCTGTGTGGATGTCACTTCTGGAAGTCCGTTCTGGATTTGGGCAACAAAAAATTAGCTACCATTTCTGCCAAAGTGGTGCGAACTGGCTGAATCCCACCACTGCATATTACATTGACTTGGCAAGTAAAATTGTTGTCCCAACCGTGGTCGTAAATTGAGGATTATCTGTAATCTTAGGAATTATTTTGGAAATACTAAACTGAAATCCACTTTCCTGTATCTTCAGTTTATTATGTAAATGCCCTAAACTCTGGACTGACAGAGAAATAGATCTTAACTTTCTTCTGTGTGAAACTACTTCATATATTTTAAGAATGTTGTATTTTTCCTCTCAGTCTTCTCTTCTCAAGGTTAAACATATCTATTCCCTTAATTTGTCACTCCAGAAGTTAAGTTCCAATCTTCTGTTAACCTTCATTGCCCCTTTCTGACTTCATTCCAATTTGTCTGAATGTTTTTTTAAAATTCCACTGAAAAATAGGAACAATATTTAAGGTGGAGGTCTAACCAATGTGAAATAAAGTGGAACTATTCTTTTCAATCATTTGAAAATATGCTACTGACGCACTTATCATTTTGGAATCAACGTCACATTGCTGACTCATATTTGGCTTGTTAACAATTCAAATTTGAGGAATCCTTTCACAAGCACTATTAATTACCAAGCCAGGCTGGTTCATCTGAATTCACACTTTATTCATTACATATTCTTTTCTGTGTATTCTTTTCTTATATCTCTTTAATCCTTCAATTGTTTCCTTCTTTATTACCATTATTTGCCTTGCTTGAAAGTTAGAGGCCTGCAAAAGGACATTCCACCGGTGGAGAGAGAGAAAATGGTAGCCAGAATAAGAACACTGCCTGTTGTCCATAAAGGAAAAATTGCAAAAGACTACAGAAGTATTACGGCATAAGTAACAAGAGAGCTAGATTGAATATTACTGCTGCCTATGAAAACCAAGTTTCTGTTAAGTCAAGTTTCAACTCCTGTCGACTTCAGAATGATCCCCTTCCTCCCTCCATCTATTTTATTTTATTTTATTTTATTTTCCCCCTCCTTTGTTTCCCTTTCTCTAAATATGTGAAGACCAAGCATTATACATGAATTCATAAATATACTGTCAATTGTACATTCAAATCCTTACTCCATCCTCTTATAACTGGTCCATATCTCAGTTCTAATTAACCTTTAAAGTTAAGCCACCAAGGAAGAACTGAGTCGGAAGAGCTTTTGAAATCCAATGTAAAGTAAGGAGGGTGTCCAGTAAAAAGCAATGTAATACTGCTCTGAGTTTAGCGTGCACATCTAATTTCCATTTAATTGGTGGAAAATGAGTTTTACAAAAACAGTGCTCGGTCGAACTACATCATCTGTACAAAGATGAACATAAAGAATGTACCTGTGATTTGGGCTTACTTTCTGATATAAAATTCTGTGTCTGTCTGCCCATCCATCATCCATCCATCTTTGATCAATCTAGCAAACAGCACCAAGCAGTAGCTAGAGACAAATTTCGTAGAAACGAAAGCAAAATGCCTTTTCATCCTGCCTTTACTCTTGCTCTGGGTGAATGTTTTATATGCCTTTACCTGATTCCTTAAAACTTTTTTAGCTTAAATTTCATGGACGTGTTAAACAGAATAGTGTATTCAGCTTTTTTCTCTATATGACTCAGGGGTTTTCTCTCCCTACATCATTGACAATGATGACTGAAGCAGTGAAACTGCTGGCACTCTCAAGTGATGCCCTTCAACCAGCAACTTAAAAGTGAGTCATGACCGCAACTGAGTTTTGTACTTGCTACAGAAGGAAGACCTGTTGGCAAAAATAAAAAATAAAAAATAAATCACAAGGAATCTGGTAGCATTTTTCTAACAAATGTTAGGCTTAAGCTGGTGAGATCAGCAGCTTATGCTTTTCAACAAATTGTTAGAAAAGGTGCTACCGAATTCCTTTTGTTCTTGTTCTGCAATTCTTCCCTTTGCTGGAGAAGTTGAATAAAGCCAGCTGAGCTATAAGTGCAGTCCAGTAGTATATGCCTATTTTTCCAATGATTTCCTGCATATCTCAAGAACAGTTTCAAATTTTACATTCTAAGAACAAACAATTAGATAATACTACTGGTAGTAGTTCAATCACAAGTTCCTTTAGTTTAGTCTAACTAAATTCAATAGGACTTATTTCCAGTTACATATAAACACAATTATGGTCTAAGTAGGCAAATCTGGTACTTTCAAGATATATTATATTACAATTTTCAGAATTTTTGATAGCAAAAAATACAGTCCAAAGACTGGGGAAAGTTGATCTAATATTAATCACCAGAAATATAAGCAATTTATTTGAAAAGTGAGTCAAAAACATGGCCTTCAACTAGACCAGGGGTGTCAAACTCAATTTCATTGAGGGCCGCATCAGCATTGCGGTTGCCCTTGGGGGCCCAAGTGGGTGTGGCCAGGGTGGGTGCTGCCTACTGGGTGGGCATAGATGGAGTGGGTGTGGCCTACTGGGTGGGCGTGGCCAGCTCTACATCGTTCGCGTCAAGGGTGCCTGTGGGGGCCTGGGCAGGAGCGGGACAGATCTGAGGGTCTCTGGCAGAAGGGGGTGGGACCGGAGCAAGCGCCAAGGCATGGTGCATTTCTTCATTCCTCACAAAGGGTGACACCTCCCCAGCATGCACCCAGGGGGCGGGGCCGACACAGCAGGGGCTGGTTCCTCGCTGTTTCTGGACTGTCTTGTGGAGCTAAGACTGAATGCGTTTCAGCATAGATGGCCACCAAAAAATTGTACATTGGCTCCCGGCCGGCCTGGGCCAGGGCCAAGGCAGCAGGGTCTGTTCCCTCACTGTTTCCAGGGTGGCTTCGTGGGCCACATGAAACCACTTCGCGGGCCGCATCCGGCCCCCGGACCTTGTGTTTGACATGTCTGAACTAGACTGAAGAATATCAAAACCTTTTGGCTACTGGTACATGTACATCTATACAAATACTATGTATAATGGTATCAAAAGCTTCCAAGAGGTCAACTAAAGCAAGAATGGATGCACTACCCTATGCTACTCCCACCAGAGATGATCCAAAAATTTGACAAATATCATATCTGGGCTAGAACTGAAAGGGGTCTAGATAATCTGCTTCATCCACGTATTAAGTATTAAGAATGGATTAACTAGAACACGGATGTTGATGTTTCACAAGTGATAGAACTAAGAGGAAAAACTGCAGTGGCAAATATTGCAAAGTTTATGTTACACTGATTCGAATAACCTAATTCCTTAAAAAAAATAATGATGAATTAATGATGCATTTTAATTAAACTGAGCCCATCCATTTAACATTGTTTAATTAATTAATATATACATACCAATGTAGGTGCGGATGTGAGTGAGTGTGTAAGAAAGAAAACACATTTTTGAGGCACAATTGAACTATAAAATGTATTCAGTTAATGTTTAGTTATTTTATTGAAACTACAGACGGTAGGAATTCAGGCATTCTAATATATCATATATGCCATAGTAGCAAAACATCAACTGAAGTAACAAAGAAAAAGATTTCAGCCTTAATTATGAATTAAATGTTCCTGTAATTTTACGTTAGACCCCTTCTCATGGTAACTGGAAACATTAATGTTAGATCTCTAATACTTAGTGGTGAATTAGACTTGAATGACTTCAAAGAACTCTCCAATGACGCAAATCATTTCTCCTTTCATTGACATACCAACTAATCAGCTGCTAGGAAGCAATTTGTATCTGAACATTATTTACACAGACACAATCTGTAACTTGCAGGGAGATAGGCTTCAACACAGCAGTATTTCCTGCAAGCTAATTTTTAATTTGAGCAAGAAATCATTTTAAATTATTTGGAAAGAAGAAAGACGTTGATTTTTCTCTTTCTTTTACTCTACATAGAAAAACTAGCCCGAGGCAGTTGTAACCATACATGTACAAAGTACCTATCACCAAACCCTGTAAAGCTTAATTCATTTATCTCAGGAATGAATAATGGGTCTTAAATTACAGGCAGTTAATTCTAACC